GTCCACTGTGAACGACCATCTTTGAACAAAGGGTGGTGGCTTACGGCACCAACTGTCTGCCATCTATAATCCAGTTTGGAGATCCCTTCCCAGACACCTTAACGCCCTCTCACATCCTGGCCTTCTGACCTCAGTAAGGCTACGTCCACACTAATGCGTTGTCGTTTGAAAACGCATCGTTTTCTCTCCGTTTCGGCCTCCCGTCCACACTGAGACAACGTTTTCGCTGATGGAAAACGCAGCGTTTTGAAAACGCTCTCAAAAACGCATACATTTCAAAACAGAGCTTTCGCGGATCAGTGTGGACAGCGAAAAACGCAGACTTTTGAAAACGATGATGCATGTTAGTCACATGATGCAGTCATGTGACCACTTCACCCAAGACAGCGGAGGGCATTATACCTCTTGGAGACACTCCCATAGGGCTTAAAATCTGGGACTCTTCACCAATTACCCCTTAGAACTGAAGAAGCTTCTCGGATGAGAGGTGAAACGTCTTCAAGGAAACTTAAAGAAGTCCAGACGCTTTTCTTTCCGAGCTCCTTAGAATAGTGCATTTTAATGAGTGTTGCTTGTCTTGTGTTGTACTTTTATGATGCGTACACAATTCTCCCTCACCATTCGGGCAAATGACAAATGTTTATTTTATTTTTTTTTAAATATTCAGGACGACCGCGAAGTGGACAGAAACGAGGGGCTGAAGTTTGCTCGGAAACACTCTATGCTTTTTATCGGTGAGTTTCTGTGTTCGAGTAACGTCAGGCGTGGCCGGTCATGCTCGTTTAAAGTAAGAGAGGCATAAAATGTAACTTAAAGCTATTAGAATTTACCGTAGTGCTGCTTAAAAGTCAGGACTGTTAGTGCACAGCTGGAACAAGCCAAGACATCATTGAGTTAGTCATGCGTGTAGTTCAGATGAGATGAGCTGTGCTGTTTATACTGCTCGCGCATTTCTGAGTCTCTGCTGTTGAGAGACGCGGCCACTCAGAGGAGCTGCATTATGATTAAAATCTAGCCAGCTTTCATTTATCAAATCCATGTCCGCACGTGTTCCTGATTCTCCTCTCCAATCTGGCCCTCTCTGGTAAATTAGGTTAAGGTTTGTGCAGAGTTTCCATTTTAGAACGGCCAAATTAAGGGGTTTTGAAAAGGGCAGGGCAAGAAGGATCTGAAGCTTTCATCTGCAGCAAGGATGTCTTCATCCTGATGGATGACTTCTGCTTTTATGAAGTCATTTTATACTTTATTAGTCATGTTTGTCAGCTGACTGATATGTTTAGTTTTGGTAGCATGCTGGAAAATGCTCACATTTACTTTATTTACTGATCTCTTAAATTCTTCCCTTACACAGAGGCCAGTGCAAAGACCAAAGATGGCGTCCAATGTGCCTTTGAGGAGTTGGTAGAAAAGATCCTCCAGACTCCGGGGCTCTGGGAGAGCGAAAACCAGGGTCAGAAAGTTCGGCTGGGAGACCAGGAGCATGCCAGGCCTGGGGCGTGCGGAGGATACTGTTCCATACCCTGAAAACGAAAAAGCACAGACGTGAGAGGACTGACTAGTGACGGGAAACGGAGAGTGAGCGAGAGGTGGAAGTGGATGAGCACCTTTTTATTTGTTGGGAGTACGTCAGTCGGTCGAACAGACACTGCTGTTTGCACACTTCCTTTTCCATCACTTATATATCACTACTTCCTGTTTAAAAGAATCACGCAGAAAAAGAGCCTCGTGTTTGAGGTGGGTGTTTTAAATTAACCACGTGGAGTATGAGTCTGTCATCCGAGTATGTATGGTTTGAATTTATCCTGGTGGCTCAGCTGTACATTAAGACTTCAGGTTACACAGTTCTTTCAGCGTGGACCGATTTTGTGGTTAGAATAGACAGCCTGTCAGATTTTAATCTAATAAATTAATTGAAGTCTCCTTCATCTCTAAACAAATCTCACCTTCTATGTAGCTGCAAAGTACAAAATCTTCTGCCATACATATATTAGGAAGCTTTATTAAACGCATACTATAGCATTGGATTGAGGATTGGGGTGGGAAACATCCAGGCTAATGCAGGTTTTCATTTCAGTGCACATGAGAACACTGTGAATTCTCAAAAATCTAACCTTTTCCAATGACACCCCAACCGCCACCCAGTTACTGACATCAGTTTGTCTTTTCTGTTCACTCGTGTGTTGTCTGTTTGTCTATTATGTCGATTCTCTGCTTCAGACTATTTAGATGCCTTCAAACTAATTGATTTCCTGTGTTTATTCCTTTTGGCGTGAAAATGTGCAAGAAAAGTGATCAACTTTGTCTTGCAGGATTTCCTGTAACCGAACCCATCTCTGTCTTTGCATGCGTGATCTGGACGGTAACTTCTAGAGCTACAAGTGTAAAGTTTACAGTACCACGAGCTCTTGCAATAAAATGTACCTTTTTATGCACTTGAGCTCATAGATTGTTTTTTAATACTAAACTTTGACCTTGTAATCTTGTTTTCGCATTTATTTTGAAGGATTCATTTAGTGTTGTCCAAGTTTATTGAAGGTATTTCATACTTAACATAGCTGTGTTCTTTCCCATCTTCAGTATATTATGAACTTGATGTGTTTTTGCTATTTGTTTCTGTTTTCTCGATAAAATATTATGTTGAACTCTTCGCCCTGCTACACCCTTTCTCTCTCCCCCCGCTCCCCCATTGCTTTTGCTGTGCATCTGTTTCAATCATATAAAGTAATATGTTAAATCGATATCTGCCTTAATATCGAGATGCATTTGCTAGAGTTATGGTCAATTAACGTTTGAATTGTTTCAAACTGAAATAAATGACAAACCTCAAGATGCCGTCACTCGTGTCTGTTGTTTAATGGCCCTGTGGGATCTGCCTTTTAGTTTCCGTGTTGTGTAGAAGCCCACCTAATCAAAAGCAGGTTTACAGTGGAAACTTCAAGTGAGGCGCTCTTTCCATAATACTTTGTTGATGACTAGCCTCCTGCACATGTAAGACTGAAAACATTCCTTGCAACAACAAAAAAAACAAAACAAAAAAAACAGACCAAAACTGGGACGTGTGGAAAAATCCAGTTAATCATGTTGTTTAAAAAAAAAAAAGTTCCAGTATGTGATTACAAGCTTGATGTCAGGATGTCCCCAGATGCAACAGGACGAGACATTCTTCTGAAGCCTGAAGGGTACTTGGTATTTCCATTATTTATTTTCTGCAGCTGATCGTGTGTGGAGGAAATAGAATTCCTGAAATGTCATTCAATATAAAATAAATTAAAAACATTTGTGAATGTTTCATTGTGATCTTTGCTGTTCCAGGAAAATGAAAAGGTTGATTTTTAAAACAGAGAGCACATCTATTGAGAGCAGCTTACGTTATTATTCCATGACACCACAGTGGCAATTCCATTTGAAACTTAACAAAAACCTTACATTCGAGCTGCTTGGGTGGGGTCTCTGTGTACATTGCTACTACAACATTACTATCTCTCTGTAAATGGTTATGGGGATTTGTTAGCTATAGAGTTATATGCAAATTTGTTGATGGGAAGTGGTGCTATATAAATAATCTCAAAGGGCTTCATATTGTAAGGTAAAGAACCAACAGTAATATAAGCCCAACAATCACGCAAACCTCCTATAAGCAAGCACTTGGCGAAAGTGGGAAGGAAAAACTCCCTTTTAACAGGAAGAAACCTCCAGCTGAATGTGGCCCAGGCAGGGGCACCTATCCATCACAAATGTTAGCAGTGAGGGGAAAGAGAAGAAAACACAGAGACACACTGGGTGATGTGTTTCTGGTAACTTGTTCAGTGTCTGTTCTTTTAGCACAAACTAGCATCTTTAGGAAATCATACATGATCAGCTCTTTGGATGCTAAGCTCTTCCTTGTTCACTAAATAGCTGCTATCCATGTCTAGTGTGTGGCCAGTACTCTTCAAGAACATCTACTTATGGTTTGGCTAAAACACTGAAGACATGCATCATAAGGTCAAAAACAATGAGTTAAGTGAGTTCAAAGAGCTCCAAATGCTGTGGTTTCATCACTGTGAAAACACGCATTCACATCAGACAATGGAACCATTGTTTTTAAAAAAGTATTAATATGGCAGCTCCAATATGTCTGTGAAGGTTCTCAGTCATCCAGGTCATCGTAGTCAAAGGAGCTTGCAAAGAAAAGCATCTGGACTTCTTTAAGTTGCTTATTATCTTGCTTATTCGCATGATAAGGTGGGGCCAGGTTTCACAATGAACTCACCCGAAACTCTGGCTGATTGGGACCCACACCCAGTTTCACACCTTGGCTCAGGGGATTAGAGGATCATCAGGGG